CGGCCCGGGGCTGCGGGGCGAGGGGCCGCCGGGCCGGGCCTGCAGCAGCCGCGCGCGCGCCGGGACTCGGTGCCGACCGCCCTGGCCCGGCGTTGGCGCGGCAAGTTCCCAACTCCTGGTGACCAGCGGGGCGAGGCGAGGGGGCGGGGAGCCGGACGGGGGGGGGGGGGGGGCGACCCGGCTTTCTAGGCTGCGCAGTTCTCGAGCTCCCGCCGCCACCACCTGACTTTCCTAAAGAGTGTTTTTGGGCTACCGAGAATTAAAGAAAAAGAGAGAGAGAGAGAGAGAGAGAGAGAGAGAGACACACACACAACCCGCCCTCCCCCACCCCAAACACCGCCTGGACTCTCTGGACGCGCTTGCATTGGATTGGCAGCCGCTGAGTCCGGGGGACAGGCCGCCCCAACCCGACTATTGGGGCAGGATGCTGGCTGGGGTGGGGGCACCGGGGCGACCCGTGTCCTTCGTCAAAAGCGTCCCAGGGACAGCAAGAAATACGGTAACGGCAAGAAGGCCCCAGGGATCTTTTTTAAAACTCTCAATTTAAAACTACGTTTTAAATCAGAAATTGTATTCTTTGTATTCTTTCTTTCCGAAACCTCGCTGGAGCAGCCGGGAGCTTTGTGAACTGACAACTTATTGAGCTTAAGGTTTCGGGGGGCGGGTAAAGGCGTGTGGTTTCTCGGTCCTCACCCGGGTCTCGCCCTCCTCTGGAAACAGAGCACCACTGGGTTCCCAAACACCCCTTCGCATTTGGCAGCAAAGCCTCCGCCCCCTGCCCAATTGGCTGCCGGATTCCGGCTGGATTCGAATCGCAAATAGTAGTGTGGCGCAGCCCAAATAAATCAGCCTTGGGGACAGGTCGCATTTCGGAGCCAGCACCTCTCCGAGGGCGAGGAGGGCGGCTTGAGGACGGAAGGCTCACTCCAGAGGGGCCCCTCCTCGAGTCTAAATAGTCCGGGGAGAAATAATTTCGTTTCAGTTTAGTAAATCTCCTCAAAAAGGAGACAGACGGAAGGAAAAGGAAAGGAAAAAGATAAAGAAAAAACCGCGAAGAGAATAGAACTTCTAGCAGCCTGTTCACTGGGGAATTATGGGGGACTTCTCCAGCTCTCGGGTTCCTCCCTAGTTTGGGGTGCACTTCTTCCCTCCGCATCCCTATTCTGCCCTCCTTTCTGGACCAGCTGGTGTGCTCCAAGGAAGCGCGGGACCCAGGGTCCCTTAGGGGTGGCTTTGAAAATGTGCCACTACTTCCGGGGGTGTTTTCCCCAGGGCCAAATCCAATGCATTGGGGAAATGGTACACTGGATGGGTCAGGCAGCCTTAGCTTGTTGTCTGGATAAACTCTACGGGTTAAACGGTTTTGTTTTATTTTTAAGCGAACTGAAAAGAAAAAAAAAAGAAAAACCATTTTACTACCCCTTGTCTCCTTTAGTTGGAAAACCAGTCTAAAAAAAATTGTGACCGTGCAAAGGAGCAAATTGCAACTGCCCACCCTTGTTTTAGGCAATGTTAAAAAGGGATTGGGAATCTGGAAGGTAAAATCCCGGGCGCCTTCTCCAGCCATTTGAGACCGCACGTTGTGGGGTCGGTCACGGTCTGTCCCAGCGGTGTCAGGGCCGGTGCACCCTCGTTCAGCTGCTGCGGAGCTGCGGGGAAAGCACGTCCCTGGGGGCTTAGCTATTGTCCAAGGAAATTCAGACACCTTCATACTTCCTAATATAAAGAAACACACACAACAGGAATCAGGTTCGGGTCTGGGTCTTCTCAGGGCTCAGGCTTGGAGGCCGTTCACATCCTGGAATCTAACTTAGCCAGAGGATTTTTAAAAACTCGTCCGCGTTAGAAATCACCTCACTGAGATATGAATTAAGAAAAAAAAAAAAAACCAACAAAACAACCTTTGCTTTTAAGAGTAAAACTGAGAAGCACTTGGCAACAGTTGGCCCCAAAGAAAATCAAATGTCCACAACGTTTCTGTAACTGCTTACAAATGAGCTTCTGAAAAAACTGAGTCTGTTAAAAACTTGGTCGGAAACTCACGAAAAACCCAAAAGAAAGTAGCTTTCAGCCCTGGTCGGAGTTAAGTGGCAGGCGGACGCCAGGTCAGCTCTTCTGCCAGTCCCATTCGATCGAACTCAGGTTAAAATTTAAAGCCCCTGAATCCTGCTCCGGTTGCCGATCTCTGTTCCAGAGTTTTCTACCTTCACTGGTTCCGATTGTGGCCACATCGAAACTGGGAACCGCCACAGTGATTGGGGGAAGCAAAGAGGAATGTAATAAAAGTGACTAAATTGGATGAGAACGGTTTATGGACCGTCTTAGTAGCAAGTCAGAAGTGTTTAGCAGCAATTTACAACGAAGAACGGAAAAAAATTAAAAAAAGAACTCTCTTCGACTTCCTCGATTCGGCGACCTCCTCCCCCTCATTGCCAGGGTCTGTCCCCTTCTCTCCTTACAATACACAGGTTCACAGCTCACTATTATAGTGAGGAAACATACTTTCAGCGACTCAGTCTCACGACCTCTCTAAACCATATTTTACAATGTCCCTACCTACCCCGGTTCAACTCTCTTAGTCTTGTCTTCCTTTTCCAACTGGAAAAACACAATATTAAAAAAGGAGAGAGAGAGAGAGAGAGAGAGCGCGCGCCCAAATGCTTTCAGGGAGACTGACCTTTAGAAAATCATTTACTTCGATTTACCTGGAAAAAAATTGTAAAATCCATTCTCACAAAGCAACTCCTCCTGCCCTAGTTAAAATTCTCTCTCCGCGGCCTTCTGGGGTCACGTCTGTCGGAAGAAATGTGTTTGTGCGTTAAAGGGAGCGAGACATATATCACAGCTCCTGCGGACCAACCTGCGGCCGCGCGCCTCGCTGCTGACAGATCGGCGCTGATAACCCTGCGACGTTCATTTCCAGTCCCTTTGCCGGCTCAGGACCATATCAGTTTGTACACAGTTGTGATAACCATTTGGAGGGAGAGAAGAAGGGGTGTGTATGTGAGGGTGGGGGTGGGGAAGCGGGACTTCCCGCTGGGTCCAGGGAAGTTGACCCCCCTCCCCCTTTCCAATGACTTATCCAAGACTTACCTGAAATTCTCCAGGATAAGCTCAGAGCAAACGGGACACCAAAACTTGGAGAGCATCTTGGGGCGCGACTGGGGTGGAAGCCCTTTTTTCCATCACGCGCACCTTCAGGGACTAGCCTTTAAGTACACCAGGACCCCGAATCAAAAGGTTTTTCCCAAAGGTTAGCTGGTGAGTGCAGACGTGAACTCCCGAAACCTCCTGGGAATTTATAGTCTGTTTCTAAAAAGCAGGGAAGAGATAAGAAGCTGGGCACTGGAGTTCCTTCTTTTCCATATAGTTGGATCCTCGATCCCCGGTGGCCACCACGACCCGAGCCCCAGGGTCTCGAGAAGAGGTCGGGGAAAGTTTAAGGTCAGTCCCATACAGCTGCAGAACAACAAAAACTCTTCTAACGTGGACAGAAGAACGGGGCAGGCCCGAAGAGCAAAGCACTTTCCCCTCATTCTGGGGGGCACGTTGACCCGAAAGCTGGCGCATCCCTCCCGCCGCGGTGGCAGCGCGGGGCTTTGCACAGCCACTGCTCCCCCCACCCGCCCCCGTGAGTGCGTGTGTAACTGGGGGCGGAGGAAAGTGCTGCGCCGCCGGATGGGTGTGGGTCGCCAGCCAGGTCAAGCGTTCCTCCACCTCCGCCCCTCCCCGGGCGTCCCAGGGCTCTGCGCCCCCTCGAAGGGCTCGCCCCCACTCCCGGGAAGGTACTCTGGGCTCGGCCCACAACCGGAGGCTGAGCGGCGCTCATTGTCTGCCCTGGCGGCGCGTTCCCCTCCCCCCGCCGCCCGCGGTCCCCTCCCCACCCTCTTTTCTCTCCTCCCCTCACTCCCTCCTGCTCCTCCTCCTCCTCTTCACCTCCAGCGCCCAGCTGCTCGCGCAGCGCAGTTCCGACCCACAGCCTGGCACCCTTCGGCGAGCGCTGTTTGTTTAAGGCTCGGTGAGTCCAATCAGGAGCGCAGGCTGCAGTTTTCCGGCAGAGCAGTAAGAGGCGCCTCCTCTCTCCTTTTTATTCACCAGCAGCGCCGGGCAGACCCCGGACTCGCGCTTGCCTGCCGGCGCCCTCAGCCTCTCTCCGCGCTCAAGAGCGGTCTCCGCGGTGGCGGTTCTCCATGCGCAGCGCGCACCCGAGGTTCGGCTGCTTCCTCTCTTGCTCGGGCTCCCCTCTTTCCTCTCCCTACCCCCCACCCGTCACGGGCCCTTCAGCCCCGGACTCTCCGGCCCTCTGCGGGCCGCGGTCGGCTCTGAGGGCGTCTTCCTTCTCCTGTCGCGGCCGACTGTAGCGGCTCCCAGGTTCCTGGGACACCGCGGACCAACTTCTGCTGTCTCTTCCTCTCCCTGAAGCGCTTATCTGCGCACAGCCTTATCTCCGAGTTATCTGGCGCAAAGGGGCGGGAGCCGGCAGTCAGGCGAGCAGAGAGACTTCTTTCTTGCTATCTGGCCCGGGTCTGTGTGTGGGCATTAATTTTAGTATGGTTATCTCCGATGAGACGAAGCGATTTGGAAAAGTAGCTCCGAGGAGGCCCTCCCGGCTGCAGTTCGCCTCCCTTCCCCACTCCCTCCGAGTCTCCCCGTCTTTCTTCCTGCTCTCCCCTTTGGGGTGGCCTCGGCTCCGGGGCGGTCTCACGCGCACCCCCCCCCCCCAACCCTGCATTTCCCCCTCCTCTGTGCTCCGCTCCACCCCGCTACGTCCGATTCCGGAACGGTCTGGCCTTTCCGCGGTTGGGGATGACCACAGGGTGGGAGGGGGTGGCTCAGCCGGCGTGAGCGCACGCGCTGGTGGTGCAAACTCGAGCCGTGTCTAAGGTGTGCGGCGCCACGGGGACTAGTGTTGGGCGTGAGACTCGGGCCCCGCGGGCAGCCAGCAGTGCCTGGGCCCGGAAGGTCAGAGACTGTCGTCTCCGCCCCGGCGCCCCACCTTCCCTGGGCTGAATTGCGCTTCTCTCTGGAGCTCGCACTGCGTCCCATCAAGCGTAGTCGGGGAAGCTCTGGGAAAGCCAGTGTGGGAGAACGCGGCGGTTTCGTTTTCGGGGACAGGTTGCCTTCCTTACGCTAACGATTTTCACGCGGGTAGACCTCACACTGAGGCACTCCGGGCTAGGGGCACGTGTAGCGAGGCGGGACAAGGCAGCGCCGACCAGCACAACTACTTCAAAAGTTCTTTTGTGTGTCATCGGCCGAGAGGGAACCACTTTGGGGCGGAAGGGAAACCTCCGCCAGGCTTCTCGTCACCCCTGGGATCTAGCGCGCCGCAGATGAAGGATGCTGCGGAGAGGGTGGGCGGGAGGACGAGGGGACCCAAGTGGTGCAGGCAAGGGAGGGCGGATATCCCGGTCCTGGGAGGACCCGGCGGAGACTGCCCAGGCTCCGTTCCCCTCTCCTTCCCCCAAACCCCGCGACCAGGGCAGAAACGGGATGTTTGAGAAATCTCATTAGCTAGAAAAGGCAGTAGAGTGAGATGTGTGGCCTGCGCGTTTGTAACCCTTTTTGATTTCTCCTCCCGTCCCTGCCTCCCCTCACCCCGCCTCAGGAACTAGAAGTTAGCTTGGAGAGGCGCCGGACCGTGGATGGCCTTGACTGACGGCGGCTGGTGCCTGCCGAAGCGCTTCGGGGCCGCGGCTGCCGACGCCAGCGACTCCGGAGCCTTTCCAGCGCGGGAGCCCTCCACGCCGCCTTCCCCCATCTCCTCTTCTTCCTCCTCCTGCTGCTCCCGGGGTGGGGAGCGTGGCCCCGGCGGCGCCAGCAACTGCAGGACGCCTCAGCTCGATACGGAGGCAGCGGCGGGACCCCCGGCCCGCTCGCTGCTGCTCAGCCCATACGCCTCGCATCCCTTCGGGGCTCCCCACGGACCTTCGGCGCCCGGGGTCGCAGGCCCCGGGAGCGCCCTGTCGAGCTGGGAGGACCTACTGCTCTTCACTGACCTCGACCAGGCCGCGACAGCCAGCAAGCTGCTGTGGTCCAGCCGCGGCGCCAAGCTGAGCCCATTCGCCCCCGAGCAGCCCGAGGAGATGTACCAGACCCTCGCCGCCCTCTCCAGCCAGGGGCCGGCCGCTTACGACGGCGCGCCCGGCGGCTTCGTGCACTCGGCAGCCGCCGCCGCAGCGGCCGCGGCCGCGGCCAGCTCCCCAGTCTACGTGCCCACCACCCGCGTAGGCTCCATGCTACCGGGCCTGCCGTACCTGCAGGGGGCGGGCAGCGGGCCCGCCAACCACGCGGGCGGCGCCGGCGCGCACCCCGGCTGGC